CTGCGCTTGACGCGCTGTAAATTTTTGGGTTAATGGTTTTCTGTAAATATTAAAAGCGCAAGCGGAAAATAATAAACGGCTCAAATATATGAGTCTTTCCAATTTCGATTTTGTTCCCTTTAGAATATAGACTCTTGGACCGTGGTGTGTATTTATTACTATGTAGGTTAAGAAAATTTTAAATAATATATATTTGATTAAAAAAAGCGCAAGTAGAAAAATTCATCCTAGCATCTAATAGCGAGGAATGCAAATACTCATTACATTATATTACACTTTCAAAGTTTATCTTCATAAAATAGCTCTGGGCTACAAATAGCAATATCTAAGTTTTACCATAACATCAGGAAGCGATGAAAATTTTACACCCACACAGCGCGGATGATATTTAAATTCGCTAGCTTCTAAGTCAAAAATATTTTTATATGAATAAAAAATAACTTATGTGCTTCATTAGATTAAATTAAATTAATTTATTATACAGAATAAGATAATAAAATCATATATGATATTAGAAAACCGCTGTGGTTTGTATAAATGTAACCATAGCAGTCTTGTTTAGGAGCGCGACAAATTCATATAAAAGTAGTTTTTCAATTTACTTTTTATGTTGGTTAACGTTAGGCTATCTAATAACTCACTGGACAGTCGATTTATTAGGAACCTTGTTTGCTCCCGATGTACAGGCGAACGTGCTGTACCTCTCGGATATGTACGTCATGCTTAACTCCTTTTTTATGTCATTTCATAAATAGAGCCTTAATCGCAAGAGAAAAACAGTACTACAAACTTTTAGGTCTGTTTCTCAGATTTCTGTATCTGTTTCGTGATTCAGTTCATAGGCAAGTAGGTGATCGGCCTGATACACGAATATCTTGGCCTTAAGGCATACCGGTTTCCTCAAAATGTTTTCCTTCACCGTACGAGCGTGTGTTATATTTGCACAGCCGGGCTTCGAACCTATGACATCTGTGATGAGTGTCGTGTGCTTAAACCACTAAGCTACCATAACGTAAGCTGTACATAAAACACAATAAAGTATCATAATAAATAAAATTTGTGTTTCCCTTAATGAAATAAATGAGTTTAAAATCAATACAATCCTACAACTTGAGCCATTTATAACATTCACAATTAATAAAATTATTTCAACACTGAAATATGGACGCCATAAATATCTCACTTTGTAATTTCATTAAGATATGAATTCTGAGTAATTAATTTTAACTAAGCAGTTAATTAATTTCTATATTTTTATGAAATTATTTTGAACTGTTGTGGTTGACATTTCTACTGGTGCTGTTTGACATTAATACACATAACGTATGTAACGTATATTATTAAAGTAACGAAACTGCTTTTTTAAGACATTACTACACATTGTTAGTGACATTTGACGTTATTTCCTATACATACGTAATAAACTAGCTTCTGACCTGGCGAACTTCGTACCGCATTAAAGTCAATGAAAGTTAATGTCGTGTTACAGATCAGCTGAACTTAATGTATAAGTAATATATTAAGTACAATGAATACAAAATAAATATTAAGTTCACTACTTTATTAATCAGAATGAATGCATGTTATTTGATTTGTTGTATATTTAAGTAGCTTGATAAATTTTCCTTAGTTACACAACCAATATATATGTCAATCCTATTTCATTACTCACATTATTCTACATTTATAAATTCTAAGGCGCAATTACCCTTATATTATGGGCAGTGTTGGCCTAGTGGCATCAGCGTGCGACTCTCATCCTTGAGTTCATAGATTCGATGCCCGGCTGTGCACCATTGGACTTTCAGTCTATGTGCGCATTTAACATTCGCTGGAACGGTGAAGGAAAACATCGTAAGGAAACCGGCTTGCCTTAGACCCAAAAAGTCGACGGCGTGTGTCAGGCACAGGAGGCTGATCACCTACTTGCCTATTAGATTGACAAATGATCATGAAACAGATACAAAAATCTGAGACCCAGGCCTAAAAAGGTTGTAGCTCTACCGGTATATAAAGCATATTCTTTTCTATTATATTATACCGTATCGATGAACATTTTACATTTTGACATTTACGAAACACATAAACATGAATTGGACGTTTTTCTTTTATTCGATTTTTTCGTAAATTGTCTATAATGTTAGAGTTATTTTGCGATTCGGTAGGGAGACAAATACATCAAATCAAAAACCAAGAAAATCGGTCCATTCAAATTTTAACATTTAAAACGAAATTTCGGTAGTAAAATGCGCATCGCATCCAGTCGTTTTCAGTTTAGTAGCTACTATTAGATAAATAATGTTTTATATCTTGACTATTTCGGAGTGAAATCTTCGGTAAATGAAAGACAGCAAGGAAAAACAGTGTAATATGAAGCTTTACGAAAACAACACTCAGAAAAGTTAATGTGGAAATGGGCAACATTGCCCGTGTTTGTTATGATAGATGGGTCAAAAAGACCCTTTACTTGGAATAGCCCAGTGGGAAGAAAAAAAGAGAAGACGCCCAGCAGAAAGCTGGGATTATATCCTCCGTTGAAGATTACAATAGCAGGGAAAGTTGGAAAATAGAAGCGAATATGAGGGACAAATGGAAGAATATATACTGGAAGCATGTAAATTTATTCGCAAATATCCTAATATGTATAAAAAAGGGGAAGATACAAAAACCCTTTACTCATTAAGACCTTCTCGTAAAAACCAACGGATTCCACCTACATCCAGACTAAAGTTACATCAATCAGGACCATTGACCTCCTCCATAAAAATATATAACAAATTACCAGAAATTTTGAAAAATAAAACAAATAGCCTGAGGTTTACCAAATTTCTAAAGGAATTATTATATAAGAAATGTTATTACACTGTTACAGAGTATCTGACTGATAGATTTTAATTTCTTTATAAAAGTTAAGTTTATAAATAATGTTAAGTACCTTTTCGCAACGTGAAACTAAAGTAAATATACCAAATAAATAATGTATCTTATAAGAATAGGAATGTATAAGAATATAATGAACTATAATAAAGCATGCCCTCTCATAACATTGCTGTGCCTAGCCAAGGTCCTTATTCATTATTGTAATAAATTATGTACATAAGGAATGCAATAAAGATTTGTGTTTGAGTATGAATTTTGTGGCATTCACTCCGCCGCAGGTCGCGTTATTAAATATAATAACATAAACTTAATGTAATCCTTTTATAGTCGAATATAGGCTGACAAAATGAGACAATTGGACATATAAAAATATATTTTAGACTTATAAAGGTGTCGAAGTTTTATTTATTTATATAAAATTTCAGTTCTTTACGACGTAAATAGACAATAACGAATGGTATAATTCAGCAGCATGTATTCAAAGTGTTTTTGTCTGAAAGCATGTTATTATTAACTCAACGCATAAACAATTGGTGAAAATTAGCAGAAAAATACTGTTTACATTACGTCAGTAACTCTTCAATTGACATAAACAGACTATAGTATCAACAAACAAGTAAAAAACGTTTACAACAACAGATAATGTGTGTAGTGCGTGAATTATTGAGTGAAGCGGAATACTCTTCACTATCGCCTAGTGGCGATCTCTCAAGGATGAGTTCATAGATTCGATCCCCGGCTGTGCACCAATGGATTATTTGTCTATGCGCGCATGTAACATTCGCTCAAACCGTGAAGGAAAACATCGTGAGGAAATGTTTGCCTTTGACCCAAAAAGTCGACGGTGTGTGGAAGCTGCCTACTAGCCATTTAGATTGACAAATGATCATTTATTTATTTATCAACAGCTCAATGGCCAAACTTATCATGAAACAGATTCAGAAATCTGAGGCCCAGACCTAAAGAAACACACACATTGCCAGAAAGTTCGCAAGTGCATTGCCGGCCTTGTTTGGTTCTAAAAGAGTTTTTTGTTTCATACATACGCTATACACTACACATTAAAGAAACAAATTTTTTGTTTTTAAAACATTATTTTAATAATCAATTATTATTATTAAAATTTTATAGGTAAAGGCTGACTTAATGAGACCACTAAGATGAGAGTGAAATCTTCACAAAACGTCGATTCTACGATAGTTAACATGGTATAATTCACACTTAGCCTTTACGTGGAATGCTATTATTTATTTCGTAATGGATCCTTCAGCAGTTTTTTGTTTTAATTTATTTGAACGGCAAATTTAGGTATAAATAAGAAACTAGCGTTTTCAACAGGTTGCGGTGAAACATATAATCAGATCTCTAAGTATGATTATAATAATAAATCGTTTATTTGCACAGAATTTTTAGATTGATTAATTATAAGAAACCCACACAATCAGCCATATAAAACTCGGCTTAGTGTCATATTAATTATGATAATGTCATAATAGTAGTATTGTTAAAGGTTGCTAACCAAAGAGTAGGAGGGTCAACGACTTCTTTGAAAAAAAAACGTGTCCGTTGCAAATTTTACTTATATATATTAATTATTGTGACACAGTTAGCCTGTTGATTGGCATTTAAATTTTTGTTTATACATCTTTTTTTTTTTTTTTTTTCGATTTTATTTTATTTTAGTTATAGTTGCGTGTTATTTTGAGTTTCTTTTTGTTAATTCTTTATTCTTGTAATTTACCCTCTGTAGGTGTTTCTTTTTTATTGTTCCATATTAGGGTTGCCTGGAAGAAATCGCTTGTTGGCCGTCCGTTGCCTTATAACTTATGTAACCTGCTTTTTAATATTATATTTTTTTATATGTATGTTTTTGTATAAGGTAATAAAGTGTAAATAAATAAATAAACTTCAATATAAACTGGTTGTTCAACTATTTATTGGTAGCTAACTGAAATACCATTGACTAGGATTAGATGAATTGCTGTAGCGACACTTTGAATTAGCGGCTACAAACGTACGATGACGTCATACTCTGAATCGTCTAACGAAATGTTGACTGCTTAGAATACCGCAATTCATATAAGAGTTTTTGGCCGCCCTCCATTCCACGTATACACAGAATGACTCGATGTCCCACACCGCGAACGAGAAGGGCTGTCTCTTCGCGTCCAACTCAACTTTGGATGACCAAGTCACCACCGATCACCTTCACTTACATTTCGCGGTGTGATATTTCGATGCTGAAAATCATACTTTGGCAACGTGCTGCACGCAAAGCACTTTCATCCTGGGAGATTCATAAGTCGAGTGGGCTTGATAGCATACCCCCAATTGTGCTGCTTACTTGTGCTCCTAACTTGCCTCTGGTCCTAAAGCAGGGTCCATACTATGCCGGGGTAGGCCGGGCGGGCTGACCCGGGCGGCCTAAGCCGCGTTGATGTAGACGCCCCGGGCGGCTTTGCCGGGTTAGAAAATGCCGGCAACCCGCATAAAGTAGGTACAGATCAAAGGAAGCCGAGCCGAGCCGAACTCAAATATAGAATGGGGACGTGCCGAGCGCCCCGAGCGGCTTCAGTTACAATTAAACCCCCGACCGAAGTAGACGAATTATTTTATTTTCGATTCAGTTTGTTTAAGTAGGGTTTTTTATTGTTCATTTTAAGTACTCTTCAACTAAATCACCAGTCTTGGTGTTGAAACTAAATAATGTAGGTAGAAATAGCCCGGTTGGCTTCGTTTTCAGTGTGGACGTCGTGCCGGCCCGAACGTAACCGGCCCGGCTTAGCCCACCCGGGTCAACCCTCCCGGCCTACCGCGGCTTAGTGTGGACCCAGCTTAACATGCCTTTTCCGGTACCTTGCTCGGCACTCTCTCGAAGTGCTGGAAGAACGCTTCAATACATTTGATCGCTAAAAAAGGCGATCGCTCTCATCCATCCAATATCGCCCAATAGCTATAACCTCATTGTTCTCCAAAATCATGGAAAGCATTATTAACGGCCAGCTCATGAAGTATCTAGAGGACCACCAGCTGAGTAGCGATTATCAGTGGGCGAGGGTATCAGAGGGTATGCCGCGCCCAACCACTATATGGATCTGCCCACTAAAGTAAGTCCTTCAAGAAAAGAGCGTTTCAATTCTGAAAATACCGGCGACGCACTCGCGAGCCCTCTGACATTGAGAGTGTACCATGGGCGGCGATATCACTTATCATCAGGTGAGCCTCCTGCCCGTTTGCCCCCAGTTCTATAAAAAAATGGCCTTCAGATCAACAGCAGGTTTAAAAAACAGAAAAGGTCAACGGTTTTTACAAAATGCTTTAATAAAATAACGAAACACTAACTATTTCATTTATTAAATAAATGTAAAAAGCGGTCCATTACAATAAATAACAATTAAAGTATTCTGGGCCCGTTGAAAGCATTTTTACGATTTTTCTAAACTTTTATCCTCTTTTATAGTCTTAATTAAATTTTTTATGATTAAATCCTGCTAACACTTCTTCGGTCGTTATACTTGAAAATTAAAATGTTGGCCTGTATAATTTGGCAGATCTTTACGGTGAATAATCATTATTTATAGTTGCAAATGTGCCCTGCGCTGTGCGATTATTGAAGACAGTTAAGCAACGCACAGGCGCTATAACTCTTGGTTAGGATTGTTCTGTATCTGTTTTGTGATGATTTTGATGCCGTTTTTGATCGACGTCTGGTATGAATGAATTTGCAATTATGTTAAATTTATCGACTCATTGTACCACAATATGTATGGAAAAAAGGGTTTCTTCATCATTTATATTTTCCTTGTACTTTTACCTTTAGAAAAAAATGCCATAACGCATTTTATACGTTGTATGGGTAGACAAACCTTCTGTGTCTGACACACGCTGTCGACTAAATTCTAATGTGGTTTCCTAATTATGTTTTCCTTCATTCAGCGTTAAATGGTTACATAGAAAAAAGTTAATTGGTGCACAACCGGGGTTCGAACTTTCGACGGAAGGGGTGTGAAACATACGTTCAAGTAGTGTCTTGACCTGGTTAGGCTTAATAAATTATTTATCAATTAAGTAAAAAAAATATCATAATTTAAAGAAAAAACTTTTTAACCGGATTAAAGTTATGTATTTGTATTATAAATTTACAATAATTATTTAACATAATTTTAAATTTATCCGACGTTTCGCGTGCTTTACAGCGTGCGTGGTCACGGTGACTGAAGACAAAAGGTGTTGGATGTCAAAAAGTATCACAGCTGTAGAGAAAGTTGCATTATCTGTATTTATTTCCCCGGAGTTGGTATCGACTAAAAGATGGAGGGTTTTGGCAGAAATGGCTCACGGTGTCCTCTATTTTCGCGGATTGTTTTTCTTGAGGTTTTAATTTGGATATTATTAGATCCCAGGTGTTTGACAATTTTAGGCCGTCTTCACTATTGAAATTGGGGTGTTTTTTGATTTCAATGGCTTCGCGTACCAATCTTGGGAAGTATCTTTTTTCTTTCGCAAGTACTTTCGGTTGGTCAAAGCGTATGTAGTGATTAGGCCTATCTAGTATGTGTTCACAGACTGCTGATTTTGTTTGTCGTCTATGTCTTATGTCTGCAATGTGTTCTTTGAGTCTGCTGGACATATTGCGTTAAGTTTGCCCTATGTAAGACAGGCCACAGTCGCAATCCAGTTTGTATATACCTGCATCTTGCAACGGGGTGTTACTTTTTATTGGTCTTAGAAATTGCCGAATCTTCTTGTGCGGCTTGAAAATTGTATGAATAGAAGCTCGTTTTAGGATCCGGCTAATTCTCTCTGTAACTCCCTTTACATATGGCAGGTAGGCTGGCTCGCGGGGAACTGTTTGTGTCTTGTTTTTGTTTTTGTGATGCAGCCGGGGGATGCGCAGCTTGTTTCGGTGTAGCACCTGTTTGACATGCTGTAGTTCCTCCTCGAGGTCGGCAGCATCGCAAAGACAATACTAATATCATAATTATTCGGAGCGAGTCTATACAAAAGCTTGCCTCCTAAGGGAAATAGCAGCCGGTTCAAATACGCTTGCGAAGTTTTTTGGTGGATGGACTCTAATGCAATAAAGGCGTAAGAAGGTGGCGAGAATTTTTTTTTTTAATTAAATTTATTCTTATCTATTTTAAATTCAAAACAGTGCTGAAAACTCGATTATAATCGAAAATGAAATCTGAAACTCGAATAAATAAAAATTGTTCGTTTGACCGTTGTAAATTCAATCATTAATTTATTATGTAAATTTATTGCTTTACTACGGCGTCATGCGACGTTCATTAAAACTGAAAAAGGTCAAATTACCGCTATTTGTTTTTTAATTTTCAAAGGGGAGTGTATAATCTTTGTATACCAAACAAATCAGTTTACTAGACAACACAGTTTTAATAGAGGTAGTATTCATGCCTAGAGTGGCGGAGAGTTCATTGCCAGTTATTTTCTTCCGTTCTAGGCCCTTGATTTGAGAACTGACAGTGAATGTAAAAATATAAGAATTTTATGGATTTTTTCTTTTTTGACGTTCATAAGTGTACATTATGTTACCTATATGAATAAATGATTTTTGACTTAGTTTTTATAAGGAAGTAATTTTTATCAGTGTCCTAAATTTTAATCTGCAGCAGCAGTGGTTGCCTAGTGGCTTCAGCGTGCGACTCTCATCCCTGTGGTCGTAGTTTTGATCCCCGGCTGTTCACCAATAGACTTTCTGTCTATGTTTGCATTTAACATTCGTTCGAACGGTGAAGGAAAACATCGAGAGGAAACCGGCTTGCCTTAAACCCAAAAACAGGTACAGGAGGCTGACTTGCCTTTAAGACAAACGATAATGGAACAAATTCATCAAATAAATAAAAGAAAAATATAAATCTGAGGCCCAGACCTAAAAAGGTTGTAGTGCCACTGATTCTTTTTTAAATTTTAATTTGAAGTACGACCTTTATTAAAAAAAGGCGTTTAAAAAACTTTATTTAACATTTACCTAATGAAGTACTACTTTATTTAAACAATTAATAGCATAATATAGATTTTATAAAGTTTTAAAGTTCTATCTACGAAGAAAGTATTTGAAATCCAATACTAAAGTTACACATAGTGGTCGTAAAACGTGTATAATATTGAAAGAATTTATAATCTTAGGGTGCCTACAGACTATGTAACATATTATATAACTTGTGTTTTATAACATGTCCACATTATGTAACCTTGTTATTCAACATTATAACATAAAACAATATTGTACACATTAGAATAACAATGCAATATAACAATGTTATATAACCATTGTCGTTTGTCGTTCTCCAGTGCTATCCACAATGTCGACACGAGAGGACGTTTTGCTGGCTGCGGCAGCGACTGTTGTAATATTAAATAACAAAAGAAAAACAAAAAAAAGTAGATGCTGGGTTCATATCAATAACATAACAATATAACATTGTGGTACATATCAATAACATGTTTTATAACATTCAGTGTCCACATTATCTGAAACATGTTGTATAGCAATGTTGTATAACATGTTATGTTATATAGTCTGTACGCACCTTTAGAGAATAAATTTGCTACGCCGTAGACAGCTACGACGTAGAGACCATTACTATCAAGGCATTTATTAATTATAATATGTTTTCTTTTTTGCGAACCCGGTACATGTGTGTATTATTTAGTGTGGCGATAGTACAGAATGATAAATATTGTTATTATATTATCACGAGTTAAGTTCGGGGGCGTATTTTGTAGGAATGTTCAAATATATGTTAAATGAAACTCTTTGTTTGAAGCTGGGTGTCAACTGGCTTTAGTCGTTATAAACTTGAGGGGTTGTGACGCTAGACTAACAAAAAACTTGAATTATTTAAGGATTTTTAGATCTATGTGACGCTTATGTTACCTATAAAGAATATAAGTATAGTCAACCTATTGGACATCGGAAACGATTGTTTGAAAAACTAATTTTGGCTTCAAGTGTGCGAAGATTACTTACAATTGGATTGTACTTCTTATTATTAATTAAAAATATATATATGTAACTTAACTTAAATCTTTGTTTTTAATTTATTTTATTACTTAAGATGTCATGTGGAACATGGTGTTATGGTTGCAGCTCCTTACAAACGTTGTGTAAAACAAAAAACTTGGCGATTAAAAAGAGTGGCGGAGAGTTTATTGCCAGTTCTTCTCTTCCGTTCTACGCCCTTGATTTAAGAACTGGCACTAAATGTAAAGTTAGAAGCATTTCATATATATTTCTTTTTTTTTGACGATCATTGTGTTACCTATATGAATAAATGATTTTTGACTTTTGATAAATTCTTATCTATGGATATAGATAAGAATTTTTATCACTAGTTTTATTGCTGAAACCACATAAAATCCGTAGTGTATCATCATAATAATCATAAAC